TTTTATCTATTAGTTAATATAAAAAACTTTATCTACAAATATGAATAAATATTCCATATTGTTAATTTTCTTTTTCATTTTTAATATTTATAATATTAAGAATTTTATAAACTTTCAAATAAAATAAATATTTGAATTTTTAAGAATTTGTCAGAAATTTAAACCTTATAAATATCTACAAAAGATATTAATACGGAACGGTATATTACGGGTGAAATCCTAGATATAACAATCAAAAGTCTATTTGAATTTTGGGTCGATATTAATACTGTATGATATACCACGTGTGAAATCCTAGAATTGACAATCAAAATATAACTATACAATCTTAAACACTAAATAAAACTAAACAAATAATATTAACAAAACAAATAAAAATTTTATTTTAATTTTTTAGTTATAAAATATCGTCATGCGGTGTACCATACATTTAAATCAAACAAAACAATAGTATATATCTATAGATCATCTTTATAAAATTGATTTTAATTATTTAATAAAATTATAGGCTCGCGGTGTACCGCGGGTTAACATCTAGTAAGAAACAAAATTTTAGGACATTTTGGATCGTAAGGTTTATGGAATAAGGCCGTCCAAAGTTCCAACGGTTTCCACCACCTCAAACGCCGTAGTAGACGAAAGTTAAGTACATCGACGAGAAGATAAATAATTTTCAATTTGATTCCTAATTTTGTTTAATTATTAATTTTATTTACTAACAGAAAAAAAAATCAAATCTTTGAAAGAGGTTGAAAATAGATTTTTTTTTCGTCAAACATGAAATTTATTGCTTTAATCATTGTTAAAAGTATACAAGTGATGGCTGAGCCATGGGGGAACATGAGAAACATTCGAAAAAAAATGTGCAGTTACATTAACAACTTTAGCTAAATGATGAGCCGCTTCATTGTAAATAGATTATGAGAAGATTTTATTCTAATATATATTTTCATTTGAAAAAAAGATATTAACAAGCTAGTAATTTTCTTAGAACTATAAAAATCAAATAAACTAGTGTATCTATACTATTAATTGGGAATGACTAAATAATAAAAAACCTTTAAGTTGTAAAATATTACATAGGATGCCACTGTTTTTTTATAATTTGAAGAAGAAAAAAAAAACAATTAAAAAGGGTAATTGTGACAATTTGATTATAAAAAGCCAGCGGATCTTGGGTTGACCCGTTGGTATGAATCGAATATACACGCGGATCTTGGATTTCTATTTTTAAAAAAAAATTGAAATTAAATCAATAAACTAATAATAGCTGTCCTATATTTTTGGAAATGGTTTTAAAAAGATTCCATAATATATCAAGCTGTTTAATTCAAAATTGTATATATGTAAACTTATTTATTTTAGTAATATATTATTAGATATTTCCGGTAATCTAATTTATTAACAAATTATATTTTAAAACATTCCTTAACAAAACTATATATGCTAATTAATTCTGATTAGAACACATGAAAAAACAATTTTAAAATTTGATTTTCCAAATATGAAAAATATTTAGTATATTTTTTCATATAATCTAACTAAATACTTCCATCCTTTAAAATATAGCATATTCAACAAATAATTTTTGGATTTTAGATTTCTAAATATCTAGAAAATATTTCCTGTATAGATTAAAATATTTTACATTTTAATTATATAATTCAAATTTATTATATTGATATAAATTTAAAATAATGAAAATTTTTAAAAAGATATTTTCAAAATGAAATATAATAGTTACTATATCTCCAAATTATTTTATTTAGAGCCCAATAAATTATTATATTTCAAATCAAATAAATTATTTTATTTCGTATCAAATTGTTACACACTTTTGGAATAAAAATTCTTCTAAATTCGTTTTTTTCAAAAATCATTAAAATATAATTTAAATACCAATATTTTAATTTTCAATGCAAATATTTCAAAATGAGAAAATATTGATTCACACCAATATACTTATTTTTTTTATAAATTAGAATCTCTTCTTTTTTGGAAAAAAACATTAATAAGATTTTTTAACAGCTCATTAATTGTCTTTGAACAATCATTTATTTGGTAAGTTGTATTTGAACAATCATAATTACCATATTTGCGAAATTTCATAAGGATAAGTTTAATGGAAAAATACCAAAATCGTTGAGATCATAGAAAATTTAAGATTTTTTTTTAATATTTTCGTCATCATAAATTTAAAATATGCAATTAAGATTGGTTTTTTTTTGGTAAAGATTGAATCCACAAATTGAAACCTAATTTTGTGTACAAATCTATTTCCTAGAATTTTGTGTATATAAATATTATGCATTTATGCACACATCCAAAATAACTAATATAAATTACAAGCTGTTAAAAATATTTACACATAAAATACAATTAATTCAAATGATTATCTAAAATTTATTTACATTAAACCCTCTCTCATTTTAAGATTTTGTTAAGATTCGTTTTTTAAAATTATGGAGCAAGTTTATCAAATAAATTTAAAATATCTATATTTAATAAATTTGTCTTATATTAGAAATGCATTCTCTTATGGGACATGAATTGCGGAACGGGTATAGGATATAATGGAACATGGCGAAACCAAATGAAATTACGCCCACCTCTAAATATTTGTATTTGTTAATCATTTTTAACGGCTTCATATACGGTTTGATAGTTCACAAGTTTAATACAAATCTAACTAACCGTTAAACCGCTTCAATTTGATCCCGTCCGACCACTAAGTTGTTGAATTTTAAAATACTGCTGAAACAATTATTATTTCAACTATTCAAACATTAATAAGCTACATTAAAACCAAACTGAAAATTAAACTAAATACCCAACTGATATGAATTTGGGTTATAAATACTATATAAAATATATTTGTTTACATCAATCTAACCTATATTATATTTCAATCTAAGATTTTTTCTAATCTACTCTTCAGTTTCAAACACGAAAATTTGACATATGGTTCACAACATTGGCTATTGTGTCATAAACAACATAAATAGCATTCTACACTTTTTTGATACATTATAATTTATATACTACAATATTTACTAAAAAAATATATAATCTGTATTTACTAAAAAAATAAATAATCTGTATTTACTAAAATTTTATTACAACACATTTCTTAAGATATGAAACCCCGCACGTACGTACGGGTCAACATCTAGTATATTCTTAAATGTATATATTTTTCAAATAAAAATCATTAGGATTCTTTAGTAAATAACTACAACATTTCATATACGTTTTTTTTGGTTCTTATTATATAAACTAGTGTCAGCACCGTAGTATTTACATTTAAGTTAAGTTAAATATATGTGTTTTTAATAATTTGTTACCTAATAATTTATGTGTATATTATCTATATTCAAGTAAAATTTATGTGTTGTTAGCCTTATTTAAATATCGCTAGACATTAATCGAGGATTAGTTTAGAAATATTTTATCTAGAGCGTAAATATTGTAACGCTCCGACCGCCATCTCTCTTAATGGGCCCCATGTCCTCTCTCGGTCCATGGACCCACCATCTTCCGACGGCCGGTTCCTTACGTCTGGGAGGCTTTAGAGACTTGTTTACCGACCCTACAAATCACCACATGATATTTCCCTGTGTTTTGTCTTCATTCACACAGTTCCGACAATCACTTCCTAGAAGGTCACCAATCCTGAAATTGCTCCACCTCAAGCACTCTTAACTGTGGAGTTCTCTCAGGACAGTTGACCGAAAAGATAAGTGCACTTTGGTGACAAAGGTGGCTAAATCAATTCTCTTAAACCTCTCTGCATGCACCACCATATTCTTTAGATCGGGGTGTTACACTTTTGTTTGATGTCGTGGTTTGTTTAATAATATCAGGTCAAAGGTGACGGGTTCGAATTTTAAATTCAACAATCAACAGTTTGAGATTTTTTCATTTGATCTGTAATGAAAGGTATAGTAGTCATTTAGCATTCATCTTCTTCTTATGAGTTTCAATCCTTCAAATCTAATTTATGATCGCCGCTACTTTTTTGCAATATTTCTATCATTTATTTTCATATTTCTTGAGTACCCAAAGAATGTAGATCCTTATAGAACATTCAGTTTCTAACATGTAACATACAAAAAATAAGCTTTTAATTCAAATTTTTTGAGTTTTTGTCCTATGGTGAAATCGCGGCGGTTCCGGACCGTCGAATGATGTCCAATGTCTTAAAGGTATTTCCGGACCGTCGAATGATGTCTGACGTCTAAAAGGCCTCTGCCGCCACGTTTTAGAACAAAGATTTTTGAGAATTTATTATTTTTATTTTGACTAACGACTATTGACTAGGTATCTAAATCCCTATAAATTAAGTAAATTTTTTTTTTGTATTTAGTAATAAATTATCTCAGTTTGACTAATGGCAACACCATATATCTTTATTTAAATTAAAAAAAAAGTTGTGTCATTAGTAAGTTATTTACTAATACATTTGATTGGTGTCATCGCCCTATTATTCGAGTTAAGGCAAAGTAAAATATATGTGATTAGTTGAAAAATAATAATTAAGATCAAACACATTTATGGTTCTATTTCTTTAATTCATATAAATGTAATAAAAAGTGATATTTGTATATTTTCTTTATATTTGAAAGTATATGTCTAGTTTATGTAAAATGTTTTCTTATTATTTTTAGATTATTTTTAGATTTTTTACTTTTAACTTTTAAAACTTAAGTCACAAGAAAATTGTGATTTCTTTACTTTTTGAATCTCATTGAATTAGATTTCTTTGTTAAATTGCACAAAGGAAAATGATCTAATTTTTTCAAGAAAGACAATTATGTTTCCTTTACTAAGAAAAGTGGAAAAGGTTGAATACAAAAGAGAGGGATATTTTGGTAAAAAGAGATAGATATACTCTAAGAGTAGTAGCTTATAAAAAGCCATAGAAATCACACAAACATGCATTCAGAGTCAAAATTTCAATCTTCACTGTTTTCATTTTCCTCTAAAAGTCTTTGGCCAAGGTATATATATTTCTCTAATTTGTTAGATCTTAGGTTTGGGGTTTTTTTTTTTTCTTTCTGATTTCTCATATCGATCTCATATATGTTGATCTCACTGATCTGATGAATTTGGGGGAGAATCAATATTAACCAATAACCAATACGGTACTATTGTACATGAACCAAAAAATTTGTGTAACGGACCCAAATTCTTGCAATTTTGTTGAATACCTTTTGTTTTCATATATTGAATAAATTTGATTTTTTTAAAGCATGGAGTAGTAGTGCACACCAAATATACCATGTGAATATATGGTCCGAATATATGTGATATAGTTTCGTTTATTTCAAGGTTAGAGAGGTTTATCTCTTTCAATGATATGCATAAGGCCTTGGCGATGATTGGGCCGACATATTTAACGTTTAGCACTTTTGTAGGCCTGTTCAGAAAACTTTGCCATCGAATAGTAATCGTCGTTGGTCTGGAATTTTAGTCTAAATTCAATTTTGGTTCCTCTAACCTCATTAATAAGATGATTGAAAATTAACAAATGTTTTGATACATGTATAGTTCAATTATGGTTTCCTAATCATCCAAGTATCCAACTGTTTGGTTTTATTATGAATTTGTTTATTGCGTAATTTATTAATGAATGTTGTTTTTTGGTTAATATTGAAATCATTTAGCTTGAGAGATGCCTAAAGAAAATCGTAAAATGTGTGAGTCAAGCAACAATGTCAGAGTGTCGCCATACCCGCTTCGGTCTTCTAGGACCGACAAACACAAGTCGTCTGAGTCGCCGCCTATTGAGACAGGTTGGGAGGATGTGCGGTGTGTGATCTGCATGGAACCGCCTCACAATGCTGTCCTTTTGACATGCTCTTCCTCTTCTAGTGGATGTCATCCTTACATGTGCGATACGAGTGTTCGTCACTCCAACTGTTTTAAGCAGTTCCGTAAAAAGAACCGAACAAAGCGCTTAAGCACCAAGACCTTACAATGTCCTCTCTGTAGAGGAGAAGTATTCGAGGCGACAAACGTGACAAGCACTGCAAGAAGATTTATGAATGCTCAACCGAGGTCTTGCTCTGTAGAGGATTGCAAATTCTCTGGGACGTATTCTCAGCTTAATAAGCACTTGAAAACTGAGCATCGCGGTATTGTCCCACAAAAGGTCGATCCACAGAGACAACAGAGGTGGGAAATGATGGAGAGAGATGCTGAATACGTTGAACTCATGACTGCAGCTGAGATTCCGCATGCGACCGAGGTTGTGCATCAACAGCTTCCCAACGATCATCATCATCCTCATGTGTTTCGGGTGACCGTTAATGGAGCCATATGGAATCTAATTGATCCGAGTCAGGGAAGGAATGGATTAGGCATCACCAACTATACCCCAATGCAGTTTCTACCATTGAGCATGTATGGCGGTGGGACTCGGTAAAGAATTCAAACTTGTTTAGTGACAACCCCAAATAAAAAATTTGCTTAAAGTTTTGATGTCTCAATACCTATTTACTTTCATCAGTTTGGATCCATAATGTTTAGAATTTCTAATATTTAGGTTGTCTTTCTAGCAATATTATAGTTGTTAAGCTTGTATCATATCTCACAAAGTTGTGTTACTAATTCTTTTAGTTATTTTCACTTAAGGAAAAAAGTATTAAAAAAATACACCAACGGCTTGTCATTTTTATATTTCAATTAAAATTATACATAAAAATAAAAATTATATATATATATATATATATATATGTTTTAGAAATTTATTTATTTATTTATGATCCTAGTTTGATTTTAGAAAATTTTAATAATTGATAAAGAAATGTTTTCACTATTTTAAAAGATTTTGAAGAATTTAAATATAATTTGTGTTTTTTTTTGGATATATATATATATATTACTAAAAAGCTAAAATGTTTATTGGTGTGTGAATATTTGTCCGCCAATCTTATCTTAACACATTTATATGAATAGAGAAGCAAATATATAGACATAAGAAAAGCTTTCGGAAGCTCTCTACTCTCCGGAGATATGCGCCTATCAAGGGCTAAGACGTAGGATAGGCGTCACCTGCCTCACTTGTCAGCCATTTTATAATTCTCCAGTGCTCTGTAGACACTTGAGATCTAATCGCAATATGCTTTCAACTATAACTTCAACAACAATAAAACAATGGACGGTTCATTCATAACACACAATAACGATAAAATGGCAAGACCTAGGCGGGCAAAAAGACAAGTAAACCTTAATTATAAATACCTCTTCTTTTGGAACAAGATGAGAGATCGACAATGATCTGTAGAAAAATAAAAGGAAAGAATAAGATGATAGATGAATGAAAGAAAATCCAACTAGCAGAAAATGGGGGTCAAATACAAAACAAAATAGGTGACCTCTAAAACATATATGTTTAATATTCAGTATTACTATATAAATTATATATTAATTTAATTTATTTTAGTGTATAAAATGCGTTAAAAGTAAAAAAAAAATTTATTGACTCAACATCAAAAAGGTTAATTGTTGATTTTCTTATAAACGTATCAATACAATAATAACACCAGATTTCTCTTATGGGTTGACACATCAGCTTTTTCAGCTCTTCTCAGTCTGACACATCAGTAAAAAACTTTGTCCAATTAAATTATAACAATTAATACAACTCAGCACTTGTTTGTTCGACGTCACCTTGTCTCTCTACTTACAAGCTCTATAATCCCTACCCGCTCTTGAAAACGAAAAGGTTTCAAATTGTTTCTCGAGGCGGTGGTTTCTCAAATCGAAGATTAAAGATGAAGAAGAAGAATTTGATGAGAAGAGCTTGATCGATAACACACTTAATTCTATCTGTATTTTCTCCCACGACATCATCTCTGGTAAGGTTAGTATTTGATCCCACCTTGTTTGGAATTATGATCATTTGGTTGGGCCTCAATCAATAACATTTCTGATCTTGGAAAAATAGTTCTTTGCAGAGTGCCTTACTTAGCTCACCTTTTGCTTCTTTTTTTGCTTGCTATCCCGACTCAATTTTGTTTATACATTGCTTCAACTCAATGGTTCTCTCTTCTCTTTTCCTCCTTCCCTAAAAATTCGCCAAGAAAATCAAAAACTTTTCTCGGGAAAATCTTGAAGCCTTTGCTAGCAAAAATATTCCAAACAAAAATTAGATTTTTAGGACATAATATATATCAAAGAACTATAACACCTATATCTAGATAAAATAAAGGAAAAACCCAATTGCAAAGATTTTTTTAGGTTGTCTTAACTATATATCCGATTTTTTTTTACCTAATTTACGAAAAACTATTCAACCATTGTTTCACAGATTGCAGAAGAATCTCATACCATGGTCGAGTCTGCATACTAGCTTAGTTCAGGATATTAAGAAAAAGGTTACAACATTACCATGTTTAGTCATACCACATCCGATGCATTTATGATAGTGGAAACTGATACATCTGAAATAGGTTATGGAAGAATCCTTAAACAAAAAATGTCTGAGTCTACCCAAGAGTCTATAGTCCGTTTTCATTCAGGGGTTTGGCTAGAACCCCAAAAGAACTATTCTACAGTGAAAAAGAAGTTTTATCTATTGTAAACTATATTTCTAAAATTCAAGATGATTTAACAAACAAAAAGTTTTTATTACCTGTAGACTGTAAATCAGCCAAAGAGATTTTAAAAAGGATGTTAAGAATTTAATTCCTAAACAAATATTCGCTAGATGGCAAGCTATTTTATCTGTTTTTTATTTTGATATACAATATACTAGATCATCACCCGTACTATAGTACGGATTGAATTTCATTTATTACAAAATTTATAAATTTTATGTTTTAGAATAAAGTTGTGATATATTATAATAGTAAGTGAAAAAATAATATTTTTTTCTCAGTCCCTATATATAATATTAGAATGAATATATTTTCCTTTTTCTATAGTATTCAATTATGGATATTTTTTTAAGATATGAAAATGGAAAATAAGATTATTTTTTTAAAAAATTAATATTGTTTGAACAATGAGTTAATTTATGTTAACGACCACAAAATGAGAGTGCATAAAATTTAGTTAGATCAAAAATCAAAATATCATAAATGAATCGCATCTAAAACGTATATTATTTTGAATTACTTAAGAAAATTAGCTATTATTTTGAATTAATTTAAGAAATTATTTTTTCAAATTCTGATTCATTGGTTGTTGAAATAGAGATTTGTTTGAGCTAATTACGGAATTTACCAATTATTCACATAATCAAATATGTTATGAACATATATTTGATATATAATAATACCAAATTCAATCCGTATGTGGAGTCTATATTTTCATTTTACAATCCCTATGAAAATATAGCGATACAATCTATCATTTATTATTTTCAAAATTGTTTGCAGAATCAAATTTTAAAATATTTAGAAGTATCAAACTTTATTTAACCCATCTCATCATAAAATCTTAAAATGCCGTCTGTTATAAGGATCATAACTTTCTACCATATAATACATTACATTTAACCCGCCGCCTACTATAGATATTTTAAACATATCTTTTTAGAAAATCAAATTAATGTATTTATAATTTTTTTTATCTTTTTAATCTATTAAATATGTATGATATTCTTTAATATATTAAATTAATAAATTTTAAAATGTTCCAAATTAAAATCTTTAAAATGTTTTATTGTAGTATGTAAGATTATGAATTTTAAAAAATGATATGAAATTAAATATAAATATTCAAATAGATATAAAGATCATAACTCATTTCATTATATAATATATTATATTCAATCCGCCGTCTATTATAAATATTTGTTTCAAAAATCAAATTAGAGTATTTATACTTTATAAATTTTTGATCTATTAAGTATTGATGATATCAAAAAAAAAAGAATATATTACTCAAATATGAATTTTTGACCCGTTAAATTTGTTCTTTTATACATTAAATAATTTATATTCGTTTTTAAAAATTCAAATCTTGGTATATGCGAAAAAAATTTACTTTTTTTTATTATATAGATGATATAATGATTTATTTATTTATATAAATAGAATCATATAAAGATGAGAGGTGAAGTATAATGATTAATAACAAATTAATATGGTAAGTTAGATATCAAATCTTATATGTTCATTTTGATTGGTCATTCTTTTTAAAGAAATTAATAATAGATTTTCGTTTTTATAATTAAATTAGATTAATTAAATTGCATAAAATCGTATTTTACTTGTTTATCCTTAATGAGTTGAATTAATTTACTCTATAAAATTTTATTTCTAATGGCATTCTTAAGTTAATTCTTACAAAGGGGAATGTTAATTAAGGGTAATTGTAAATTATACTCCCTAAATAATAGTATAAGATAAAAGGAGAAAATAATTTTTTACCTGATTTTTTAACAAGAGAGTATTTACAGGGAAAAACTTCATACCTCCAAAATGAGTGAAACACAAAAGAAGTTGACAAAGGGAAGCAAATAACTAGGAGTAATCAATACTCTGCATCAGCGGAATTTCCTCCCTTATCCTACGCAAAATCTGTTAACCCTCAACCACAAAAAACTTCATCCTCCTCACCAAAAACCACTGACCAAAAATAAACATACTTCCTAAAACCACAATGCCAACACCTTATTACCGCTTCATTTACCAAACTTATATCTCTCAAAGACTTAGGAGGTGTTATTGGTTTGCAACTTTGAAAGATTTTTAATGACTTTAAAAAAATATAAAAAGTAGATAAAATTAAAGATTTTGAATGATTATTAGAGAGTTTTTTATAATCTCTTTGATTAGCTTTTCCATAATCTTCTAAAGTCTCCCTCATAATTTTTACAATCTTGTAAAGTCTCCCTAAATATAATTATAAACTTTGATAGTATCTCAAACTTTTACTATAACATATCTCCAAAATATTGCATAATATTCTATTGTTCTAAACATTGTTCGTGTGTTAGATTTTTTCAGCATATTACTAGAATTTGGAGAAATGTTTTTCGAATAGTGTTTATTAAAAAGTAGGCACATAGGGCTTCTTCACGATGGTTAGTACAGTGTTCGGTTCAGAGATAGCTTGGTTCATGATGATGAAGATACAGAGAAGAGCAAATAAATTTTTTGTTGTTTCCATGTTTTGTAGAGGTCGTGATGAAATAAAAGAGGAGAAGAAGAAAATATTATATGGAGAGATTAGAGATAGGTCGTAACAAGTTACGTTCATGTTACGTCTATGGGTCTTTGTTAGAGAGATTAGAGAGAGGTCGTAAACAAGTTACGTTCATGGGTCTTTGTTATCATTGGTCTTTGTTTAATGGGTAGGAAGATGATCCACGTTAATATATGTTGTTTTCTAAATGTACAAAGTCAAATGTACTCATATGATTCACAATCTCTTTTTTTTTTATGATACTTTTCATGATTTTAGTTTGTGAAGAAAAGTGTATAAAATCATAAACCAATAACACAATAGTTTAAATCATTAACAATCATAGATACTTTTGTTTTAGTTGAATAACACAAAAATTTTAATGATTTTATTAAAGTATGAATCCAATAACTCCAGATTTATAAAGATTTTAGATTAGTTTTTACAAATCCAAAACTAATAACACCAAACT